CTGAGAAGTATTGCTCTTCTAGACAGGTCTGGGAATTCAGATCTGAGTGGGCTGGGGCAGCAGCTGCACTAATAGAACATGCCACCAGAGGGCAGGCTTGCTACATCCAAGTTCCCACCTAGTTCAGACATTCATTTTTTGAGCATAGTTGTCTAACCTATTAAGAAAACAATTCAAAAGTACACAAAAGTTGAATAGTATAACAAACCTCATGTTGCCAGCACCAGGTTTCAACAACTACCAATATTCTTCTCTCTTTTTGTTTGCTATGCTGCCTGTGGAGTATTTTAAAAGCATATCCCAGAACTCTCACTTTTATTTTATCAATAATACATCACTGTGCAGTTCTAATTTTTTTATTTATTCTAGAGAGAGGGTAAGAGAGGGAGAAAGAAAGGGAGAGAAACATCAGTGTGAGAGAGAGATATCAATCAGTTGCCTCCTGCACAAGCCCGGACTGGGGACTGAACCTGTAACCTTAGATATGTGCCCTGACCAGGAATGGAACCAGTGATCTTTCGGTTCACAGGACGTCGCCCCATTGAGCCACACCAGCCAGTGCTCTAATATTTTTTAAAGGTTTTTATGTCTATAAGCACTGTGTAATCATCACACCTTACAAAGAACTATAATTCCTTGACTTAATCTATTGGTTCATGTTTTAAATGTCATGATTGTATCAAAGATGTCTTTTGAGAGTTGGCTCACTTAAATCAGGATTCAAATGTTTTTGCATTTGCTATGGTTTTGACTTTCATTCTTTAATATTCTACCTTCCTTTTTATTTTCATGCCATTAGTTTGTTGCAGAAACCAGATTAGTTGTCCCATAGAATGTCCACATTTTAAGTTTGGCTGATTGTGGTGACAGCCTGTCCCCCATGTTTCTGGTAACCTGTTAATTAGACTGGTTTCATTAGGTGTGGATTCTTTTTCTTTTTTTACATGCAAGTATTTTTCATGGAGAGCACTTAGTGATTTTAGGATTGGTTAGTGGATTCACTGTGTCAGCATAAGCTCTCTATCACAAAGTTCCACAACAGTATTTAACCCAAATGTTTTAGCATCATTTCATGATCGTTGCCTACAATTTGCAAAATCGTGTTTTTCTAATGTTATCATCTCTTCTGTGTTTACTTGTGGGGAAGCTTTGTCCATCAGAGCTCCCCTGGCCATCGCAGATGAGAGTAAGTCTACTAAGGTATGACCTGCTTGGGAAGGAAAGGCGGCCAATATCTCAGAGAACGGCCTTGAGCCTGTTCCTCAACGGGCTTTTATTGGGTTTAGTTGGCAGAGGAATACAGGGCATATATAGTAAAGCTCATCAATCACTGTTAGGCAGTAATGATCAAATAATAGATAACATTCAAAGAACTAGGAAGGCTTATTGAGTCAGGGTTATTTGGGAAACAAACTCATCTTATGCCTGGACCCTTATCATTTAAATGGAGGGTATTCTTAGCAAAGCAGGTTTCACAGGATTTTATGCATTCTTTCTTAGGCCTGATTGCCCTAGGGAACTGCCCATTCCAGCACAGGGCCACACCCGCCTCTGGCATTGTTTTAGGCTTAAGTCAGGTGGGGGATGCAAGCAACCAAGAGATTAGACTTTTTACAGATAAAATGAGGGCTTAGGCTACGACAAAGCCAAAGAATGAGAGTCCATCACCCCTTTTCTATAGTCCCGTAAGTCCTTCCCTGATACTCCCTTCAAGTCCATGCCTGTCTTAGGTCATCCCTGCCTTGAGGAATCTTACCTGTCATTGGCTAACCAGTCACCCGCCGCGGGCCCAAGCAGGATGAAGTAAAGGGGGCAGAGGCTGCACTCCTGCTGGGAAGATAAGATTTGTCTCCTTATTGGCTTATGGCCCAAAGGTCTTTTTACTTAGCTTTAGCTGTGGGGTGTTATAGTTTGTGGAACCAGACAAGGTGGTTCCCAACATTTATTAGTTGGAATTCTTCTATAAAAATAACTTTTCTTGTGATGGATGTTAACTAGACTTATTGTGATTACTACTTGGTTACCTGGAATATAATCCATTAAGGAAAGACCACGAAAATATTTAATTATTTCCCTTTATTTATCAATGCTCAGAGTAAACTAGTTGATGCCCTACAAAATTCCAATGGCAACAAATGTATTTTCCTGAAGTATCATTGTTAATGGATCTTTAGACTTTTTAATGTATTGTAATTTACTAGTCATTTTTCTTTTAATGTTCAAATTGGTCCATCTTCGGCCAGTAGGGTCCCCTACACAGTCCTCAATAGTCTGATAGTTTCCCGGCTTCCAGGCACAAGATGCCCAAGCTCATCTTTCCTGCTCCAGATCTGGAACAAGCCATTTATCAAATTAGTCTTGAATTTAATTTTTAATTTGTTTAAATTAGAAAATGGTATTTAGAGACCAAATCTGTCCACTAGTGATGCTCATTACTACTAAGTTGGTCATTGCATCTAGGCAGAATTGAAAAATACATTTTTATTTTTGTCCAGGCCAGGTAGCTCAGTTGGTTAGAACATCGTCCCAATGCAAGGGTTTCGGATTTGATCCCCAGTCAAAGCACATACAAGAGTCAACCAATGAATGCATCAGTAAGTGGAACAACAAATTAATGTTTCTCTCTCTCCTTTTCTAAAAGTCAACTAATTTTTTTAAAACAAAAATACAATTTTAAGAGAAAAATACATACTTCATTCTGCTTATTCAGATCTAAAATTATAAATGTCTTCAATACTTGTAACTCTTTCTGATACACTGAAAATATTCCTAATGCCATTAACATAATTATTTATTTGTTGTATACTAAAATATGCCTATTAGTTTCAAAATAGAAATGTTAATATTACTATTAACAAGAAAACTCCTGGCTGGAGCAGCTCAGTGGATTGAGCACAGGCTGTGAACCAAAGCATTGCAAGTTCGATTTCCAGTCAGGGCACATGCCTGGGTTGCAGGCCACGGCCCCCAGCAACCGCACATTGATGTTTCTCTCTCTCTCTTTCTCCCTTCCTCCCCTCTCTAAAAATAAATAAATAAAATTTAAAAAAATAAAAAAAAAACAATGAAACTAATAAACGCAATTTAATATTTCTATGCAGTTCTAGTTACGGTAAGTCTATATCCCATTAGGGAAGTACAGTCAAAATACTTATAAAGCCAGTTGAAACTGTTTTCTCTGTGTAGTTATGCCACCAATATGACATATAAATGATTCATTTCCTTCCATTTGTTTTTAATTTTTATGGAATATTTTATTCTTTTTATTAAACTTTGTCATATAAATATGCAAAATATTTACAAAAGTCCAAAATAGGAACTATATAACAATGTACATTCACAGAAGTCTCATTTCCATCCCCACCTGCTCTGACCCATATAGTAAACCATTTTTTGATTTGGGGTTGGTTTTAAAAAGTTCTGGTACATATACCCAATGGAATATTACTTGTCCATAAAAAAGAACAAAATCTTAGCATTTGCAACAGCATGGATGGACCTAGAGGGTATTATGCTAAGTAAAATTAGTCAGAAGGAGACAAATACCACATGATTTCATTGATATGTGGAATCTAGAAAACAATATAAACAAACAAAACAGAAACAGACTCACATATACAAAAAACAGACTGTTGGTTGCCAGAAGGGAGGGGGACTGGGTGAAAAAAGTGAAAGGGTTAAGAAGTACAGATGTGTAGTTACAAATGTCATGGGGATATAAAGTACAGCATGGGAAATATAGTCAATAATATCATAATAAACTTGTATAGTGCCAGTTGGGTGCTGGAAATATCAGGGGAACACTTTGTAAAGTATGATTGTCTAATCACTGTGTTGTACATCTGAAACTAATACAAAATAAGTCAATGTAAACTATAATTGAAAAAATTGTTTTAAAGACTGGGGTTTATTCTTCCATTGGTTAACTTTTAAGTATAAGCAATTAATGTATATTTACATATTCTGATTATGTACGCAGAAGAAATCATCCTATAAACACTATTATGCACTATATTTCACTTAATACATATGGACATCACTTCATACTAGTACATTTATTAGTATATAAGAAACCTATGTATCTTTTAATTTTTATTAGAAATTAAACCTAATTTATTTTTAATATATTTTATTGATTATGCTATTACAGTTGTCCCATTGTCCCCCTTTTATTCCCCTCCACCCTGCACACCCCCTCCCACCTGCATCCCCACCTTTAGTTCATGTCCATGGGTCCTACATATAAGTTCTTTGGCTTCTACATTTCCTATACTGTTCTTACCCTCCCCCTGTCTATTTTCTACCTACTATTTATGCTACTTATTCTCTGTACCTTTTCCCCCTCCCCCCCTCCCACTCCCCTGTTGATAACCCTCCATGCGATCTCCATTTAAACCTTATTTATTTTTTTAAAACCAGACCACTAGGTATATCACAGTCCTGAAATAGAGTAGTAAACAGACAGACTATATTATCATTTCAAGTAATAAGTTGGTAGAAAGACAAGGTCCTTATCAAAACAGTAAGGTGCCAGAGCTGGGACAGGAACACTGCATGCTGCAAGAGCCGCATAGCACTCCATTCTATGTCCTATAAATTATCCACCCAGTTATTGACATGTGAGTAGTTGGCAATCTTTTGTTATAAAAATAATGCCATGGTGAACAGTCTTGTGATACGGCTTTTGTATTTTTGCCAATATACCAAGAGGATAGATTCCTAGAAGTTAAGGATCTAACCTGGAATTTCTTACTGGGTGAAAGAGTGAAAACATGTAATACGGCTGCATATTGCCAAATTTCCTTAATTAGAGTTAGTCATTTTGCCTTCCCACTAATGACACATTACTACACCCGAGAATGCTATCCTCAGGTATATTTTGGTATCATATCAGATAGAAAAGGCCGCAGAGATGAATCACAGACAAGGTTCCTGTCTCAAGAGTCCCAGGAACTCTCACTCCAGCAGACCTAAGGGCAAACAAACAATGATATAATGTAATAATAGATTTACCCTGAAGCAAATGAAGCTTAAGCTTCTAAGTGCCTCCCTTAGAAAGCCTTTCCAAGGCCCCAGCAATGTGTTTACAGAGCCATTTTGTAATCTTTTTCCTAAAGAGGACACCCCGAATTTTTTAAGTTCCAGGCTCTACAAGTCCTGAATCCACCTTACAGACTTCAGCTTCAGCCTATCTTTGGGGCTGGGGGTGGTGGATTCCAAGTCTCAGTTCTACTGCCAGCTTGAAAGGAGGGACTCCTACATTTAATGAGTGAGGCAAGCAGCAGGAAAAGCCTCCTCTGGCCCAAAGTGATACCCCACCCGATTCTGACCATCACCCACATGGGTAGCTTAGCTGTCTGCACAGAGCCTTCCATATTTCCCCTCTACTTTCAAAAGCAGAAACCAAGCCTCGGCCGACCTCAGTAGTCCCAGTAGGAAGATGAAGACTGGTACACGGCACTTGGGACAAAAGTCTGGAACAGATTACAGAGCAGTTTTGGGTGGCAGAGAGGTAATACACCAGGGAAGTGAGTATTCAAAGCAGCCACCCTCCCGCCCCCAAAAACACCTTTAGGTCAAATAAGTTTGTTTCCTCACTTATAAAAATAGGGTTAAATGATAAAGTCTGCCCTTGTGTGGTTTGGTTATGATTAGGTGACATAATTTAAAGACCTAACCCAGTTTCAAATTCTAGAGGGAAGGTCAATAAAGGGAGAATAGAAAACAAAATGGGTAATTGGTTGATCCTTGAAGGCAGTGATGGATTCTTTGCATTTCGCGTTATACAGCAATGGGAGGAGGAACCACCACCTTATTGACAAGTAGTAGGTGCATAATAAGTTAAGAGGGAATAGATATTTCTGGCGGATGCTTACTGATCTGTGTAACTAACTGAAAGACGGACTGGTCCTGGTCTCTGAGTAACTGACAGTCCTGGGCTGGCTTAGGAGAATGAGCGCTGGGAACTGACTGACGGCTGCCGGGTGGCCCGAAGACTGGAGCTGACCGAAGGACCCCCGAGAGAGTGGCAGTGTTCGCTGTCAATCCGAGCCCCCGCGGGCTCAGACCGCAGCCTTTAGCCACGCACCAGCTGGATGCCGACTCTCCAGGAGCGGGCGGATGTGGCCTCAAGGCAGGATGTACGCCAGCGGCTACTCTCAGGTGCGGGAGTCACCGCCCCTTCCTCCTGGCTCGGGGCAGGGCAGCCTCGGCCCAGGAACAATGAGGTGCCGGCTTCTTTAAGGGAGATACCACCGCGCCGGCGGGGCAGGGGACAGCGTCTTCCCAGATGATCGCACCCAGCCCCGCGCCACCGCCGCCTCAGCAACTGCACCGCCCGCAAACATGGCTCAGTGACTCTGACAAAAGGTGCAGCCTCCCTCCTGGCGGGGCGGACGCCAGGCCTCCCAGGTCCCGCCGCGTCTCCCAGCGTGCCTGCCAAAGCGTCCTGCATCCTGCACGCACCCCAGGTCTGCGCCGAAGAAGATGCACCAGGAATCCCACCCCAGCGACTCTCGCACACCTGGCCGCCCAACGGTAGGTCGGCAGGGGGGCGGAGGGGGAGCAGTCGCCGCGCAGATCGTGAGCACCACCCGCACCACCCGGCCCGGATCTGCTGCTGCTGAGGGCCAGCTCTGGGGCCGCACGCGCCTGCTGAGGCTGGAGTATGACCGTGTCCCGAGCGTGCAGTGGCCTCCTGGCTCCCGGGCCTGGCCTCCCCTGCGTGGAGGGACTGGGGTGGTGCGTGCCGACGCGCGCACACCTTCCGCGACTCCAGGCTCTTGAAAGCCAGGGAAGAGGGGAGGTGGCCAGGGGAGGCTGGGGCGCGCGCCCAATAGGGACAGCGCGCGGCGTCCCGGTTCACGCTACGGAAAGCCGGAGGGGGGCGGGGCCGCAAGGCGTAAGGTTGTGTGTCCGCGCACCACGGGGGCGCGCGCCGGCCTCTGACTGGAGGCCGCGGCGACGGAGGCGCGAGCTGCCCGATAATGGCGGCCTGCAGAGCCCGTGAGAGGGAGAAGCGGCAGTGGCTACCCTGAGGTAAATCCGGCCCTCCGGCCTGGCAGAGAGGCCCTGCTGCACAGCCGAGGGTCCTGCACGTGCCCCCCTCTGCGGGGGGGCCTGTCACAGACCTGTCAGCGGAGTCAACCTGGAGAAGGCCTCGCGCTCCTCCGGCCTCCGACTGGCACGCCTCAGGCCACCGGCCCCATCTGCGGTCTCCTCTTATGACCCTGGCCTCGGCCTCCAGCCCCGAAAGGTGGGGGCAGCCGCAGGACTGGCCCCCCGCGGGTGAAGGGCCTCGGGAGGATCCCCTCCGGGTTCCGCCTGGACTCAGCTGAGGAGGGGGTGGGTCTGACACTTGGCCAATGAGCTGGGCCCTGCGCCGCCGCGCCGGGCCGCACCTCTGCCCAGGACTGGCCCTTCGCGGGCACCTGCAGGTGTGCGGCCCGGCGGCCCGCGCCCGAGCGCCGAACTAGCCCAGTGGGCGTGGGGGCCCGGGCAACGCCGGCCCCGGTGGCCCCAGTGGCGGAGGTCCGCACAGGATGCATCACCGTGCCGTGTTCTGATCCGGATCGCCAGGATTTCATAAACACCCTCCCTCCCCCATATGGGACAGCTTCAAAGACACAGCCACTTTGAGACGGACAATAACTGGAGATCCACGGAGAGCAGAAAAGAAAGTCCACTGTGTAATCGGGACACAAGATTCTGGGCCAGGAAATCAGACACTAGGAAATGCACTAGGAATGTGCAGGGTGGGTGTCCAATCAGAAGTGGGGCTAAGAAGCAATCTCGGACGCTTTTGTTTTCTTTATTAAATCGATACTTGGACTTAAAAGTAGCTGTTCCGAATTTTTCAGGCTCGAGGGTCAGGAGTTTTTTTTTGTTTCCCCAAAGAGAGCCCTTTGATTTGTAGGACAGTTTTTGTTGGCAAAAATGAAGAAGACCTAAATAACTATTGTTCAACCACAGAATGGTATCATTTGAAGTAGCTTCCTTTATTTTTAAAGGAACGTTATTCTCCACATTTATTTTCATTTAGTTTGCAAGAAATAAGGAAGTAACAATTAAAATGGAAGCATATATGTATTTTGACTTTTTACTTTCAAATAATAAAAACACATTTTCAGTTCTATAAGTGATCTGGTTCACTTTCAGTCCCTAAACATAAACCAGGTGTTTGTATTTCTAACTGACAGGTTTTTGCTTTTTGTTTTTATTTTTGCTATTTCATGACCTTTTTATGTGTGCATCAGCTTTAAGGAGACGTTGGAACTTCATTTTTCGTGATCAATAAGTAAGAATGCTGATTTTTTTGGTTTATCTTTAACAGGGATATATTGAAGCAGTTCAGGTACAAAGCAATTTAGTGGTTAAAACTGCAGGTGTCAGAGCCAGGTGGCCTGGTTTCAGATCTCAGGTCCTGGGTGACCTTGGGCATGTTGCTTAAACTCTCCATGCTTTAATTTTCTCATCTATAAAATGACCATAATAGTATCTACTTCATAACATTATTATGAGTACTAAGTGGATTAATAGTATATCTGACAAAGGGTGGGTCAAAAGTAGGTTTACAGTATGGAAAAATACAATAATTAGTAAATAATACAGGAATAAACTTTGTGTACTCACAACTGTAAACCTACTTTTGCCCTACTCGATATTATAAAGTGCTTGGTTCCTGATACATGGTAAGTACTACATAAATGTTAGCTGCTTTACTGTTATTAAAATATTCAGATTTGCCTAAGGTATAGCAGATACCTTTCAAGCAAAGTAAACAGTGAGGTAAATGATAACTAAATCATACTTAAGAAATACAAGCCAGTATGCATGCTTAATTTCATTAGAGCACTTTGTTTATTTTTCCAGAAACCTTGACCTTGAAGATGGTGAGTAGCCAGCCAAAGTACGATCTAATACGGGAGGTAGGCCGAGGTAGTTACGGTGTTGTGTATGAAGCAGTTATCAGAAAGACCTCTGCACGGGTGGCAGTGAAGAAAATTCGATGCCATGCTCCTGAGAATGTTGAACTAGCCCTGCGTGAGTTCTGGGCACTAAGCAGTATCAAGAGCCAACATCCAAATGTGATTCACTTGGAGGAATGCATCCTGCAAAAAGATGGAATGGTGCAAAAGATGTCCCATGGCTCTAATTCTTCTCTTTACTTACAGGTATGTGTATTTGAATGGGAAATAGAAATGATTTGAACATAGCATTGGTGAACAAGAAGAGAAATGAAAGAGTCAGATGAACTACTTTTGAATGCAGGTGTTTATATAGCTAGGAGTAGATAGGGGTCTGCCAATAATTGAGTAGATGTTTGCTTTAAAACACAGTTTTATTTAAACCTGTGATGCAAATACCTAAAAATAACATAAGCCACCTGTTATGCCACGATACTTGCCAATTTGCATAGGAATAGGGCAACACAGGAGCTAGAGCAGTGATCAAGACTAGAATTTAATAAGTTGACTTATTTGAAATCAATTTTTTTAAAACTGAAGACTGAAGAAAAGGAAAAACTGTACAACCAATACCAGTACCCATAGATAATTGGGCACTGCTTTGACCATAAGCCTCTGCTGTTTTACAAGGTTATGTGGTTTCTCAACCATTCAGTTCCACTTAATATTCATGAAGTATGTGGCTTAACACCTGAATGTTACTAACAATGATAAAGCTAATATTTGGGTTCCTACTTAGTTCCATGCTGTGTGTTAAGTGCTTTAAAGGCAGTTGTTCAGAACAGTACTATGAGGAAAATGCTATTATTATCTACATTACAAATGAAGAAACTGAGGCTTAGAATACATAATGAATTTATCCAAAGTCACACAGCTAACAGGTAGCAGAATTGGGAGCTGAACATAGGACTATCTGTCAGCTAAAAACTTGTGCTCTTTTAACCTCCAAATTACTCTTTCACCTCCAAGGTACTATTTTATAGGCCTGGGAAAAACATTAACATAGGAAAACAGAAAAGATTAGGGGTTCGTTTTGTTTTTTAGGTTGGCTTCTGCCATAGATTAAAATCTCTACTAGCTCTGTACTAGTTAAAGAGAAAAGGTAATTAAGACATAACTAGGAAAAGGCCAGGGCAAAATTTGTTAAGTCCACTCGTTCCTGGAAAAGGAAACAATTTTCCATGAGTGTGTCTAAATTCAGGATTTACAATCAGGATACAAATGTCTGTTTTTAAAACAACAAAGGCTTGCTCTGGCCGGTTTGGCTCAGTTGGAGTGCTGTCCCATAGACCAAAGGGTCAAGAGTTCAATTCCTTGTCAGGGCACATGCCTAGGTTTCAGGTTCAGTCCCCTGTCAGGCGCATTCAGTAGACAACTGATGGATGTTTCTCTCTCTCTCTCTCCCCCGCCCCCCCCCACCCCCCACCCCCTCCCTTACTATAGGGAATCAATGGGTATACCCTTAGTTGAAGATTAAAAGTAATAATTTTAAAAAAGGCTTATAGGCTAGAGACAACAAGAAAACAAACACAATATGTGTGTAATTAGAAAGTCCCAAGTTTCATTTTATGGTGAACAAATATCAATCTTGAGAATCTAATTTATATTGCAGTTTAACATGCTATGCCCTGAAGTTTCCTCTCCTAAGACTGAATAAAAAACAAAACTATTTTGCTTCTTTTTTTTCAAAGTACTTATTTTAGCCCTGGCTCAGTGGATTGAGTGCCCGCCTGCAAACCAGAAGGTTGCTGGTTCAATTCCCAGTCAGGGCATTTGCCTGGGTGGTGGGTCAGGTCCCCAGTTGGGGGCTTGCAAGAGGCAACTGATCCATGTATCTCTCACACATCAATATTTCCCTCTCTTCCTTCCTTCCTTCCCCTCTTTCTAAAACTAAATCAAATCTTTAAAAAATAAAAATAAAAGTGCTTATTTTATAAGTTGCACTCAGAAGATATCAGAAGCATTCTTACCGCCACATTTCCTCTAAAAGGTGTATAGAACCTTACTGAACTTTGCATTGAAGTTTGGAGATCAAGATGCATAATCTTTTCCCAAAAGACATGTAAAAATATGACTTAGTGCTAGTAGTATTCTTGAGTCCAGATCAAGCAATCTTTGTAGTAACTAGGGATTAGCTGACCTTTCAAGGCTTCAAAATGTTCGTACTTCCAAACTTCATTCAGTGATTTTTTTTTTCATCAAAACCAGCTTTTTGTTTAGTGATATCTTCCCTTTTTTAAAGTTTGATAGGTCTCTGACTTGTGGCAGTTTTTGCTAGGTATACGACCTTGAATAAATAACCTAACTTTTTCCAGCATCTGTATCTTTGTATATAAAATAGGAATAATAATTTCTTCCTTCCATGGGAGTTGTCAAAATTAGAGGTGATGCAGATACAATATTTGGCACTTAGGAAGTATTCAGTGCTATGTAGCTTTATTAAAATTGTTCTTTATAGCCATGGCCTGTATGGCTCAGTTTGTTGGAATGTAGTCCTATAAACCAAAAGGTCTCGGGTTTAGGCAGCCGATTGACATTTCTCTCTCACATTGATGTTTCTCTCCCTCTCTCTCCCCGTCCATTCTCCTCTCTCTGAGATCAATGGGCATGTCCTCAGGTGAGGATGAAAAGAAAAATATATTAAAAAAAATTCCACTGGTTCGATTCCCAGCCAGGGTACATTCCTGGGTTACAGGCCATAACCCCCAGCAACCGCACATTGATGTTTCTCTCTCTCTCTCTCTCTATCTCTCTCCCTTCCCTCTCTAAAAAATAAATAAATAAATAAATAAAATCTTTAAAAAAAAATTCCAAAAGTTGTGGAAGTTCAAAAGGAACATCTGAAGAGACTATGGAAACTCTTTGGCTTCCTAACTAAGTTTTTATTAAACCCATGGTCCTGAAGAAGACACCATAGGACACATGCTTTCAGAGCAGTAAATGCTGCCTCTATTTTAGAATGGTAGTTCATGTTCACTGAAGTAACTAGTATTCTTGAATCTCAAGTAATAGATCTATAATTAGATAATAACAAAACTGATTTATTCTAGATTTTAGCTTCACAGAAATATGCAAACTCAGATTTGAATTTTCATATCAAAATGCAGATGTGACTGTTAGAAATTGGTTTTCGAAGCCATCCAGTCATAGAGATAGCCAACATGTTTGCATTATGCCTGTGGAAGTGTATGAAGTAGTGATGTCAGGCTTCCTTTATCAGTGACTACAGGAGCACTTTGTTTCTATAATAACTAGTTGTTCCTTGATTATTTTTTCTCTTGATTTCTCAGATGATGTTGATAGTGTATGTGCAATAAGTAAGTAAAATATTTTAGGCGGTTTCATTTAATAGAATTTCCTAATTGATGTTTATATCCCAGCTGGCAGTCTCCCAATATCTAGCTACTGAAACATGCATCTTTTCATGAAGCTATTAGCTAAATGAGTAGAGTTCAACTCCATTGACACATGCAGAAAATGTACAGCCATTTGGACACTTTTCAAACTAAAGCTATTTTTAAGTAAGTTTTTACCTCTTGACTTAGAGATTTGGTATGTACTCATTAGGGATGAAGTGACAGTTTGAAGTACTGAAGTTTAAAATAAAATGAACATATGAAAACACTGACCAAATTAAATATGTATGGAATATCCATGTAAAATTGGAGACTAACTTAACCAGCTACTTTTTTTATATACCATATTTTGCTGTTTATGATGCACACTTTTTTGCCCAAATTTTTGAGGGAAAAATAAGGATGAGCATTATACATGGGTCATACTAGTTCCTTATCTATATACGTGTTTTTAATTCTTTTACTTATGCTTATGCATTAAAAATGTAAGTCTAGAAAGCAATAACAGTATTTGTATGTTCAAAAATAAATGCTAAAATTCCTTTGTAATACAAAAAACAAATTACATAAATAGATAAAAAATGGAATTATAAAATTAAAATGAAAAAATTATTTTCATGAAAGTTTCAGCCAAAAACATGGGTATGCATTATACACAGCAAAATATAGTAGCTGAATTGCATAAACTGTACAAATGATTGTATTCTGTCTTTTTTTCCTTCTTAAAGCTTGTAGAGACTTCATTAAAAGGAGAAATTGCCTTTGATCCCAGAAGCGCCTATTACTTGTGGTTTGTGATGGATTTTTGTGACGGAGGAGATATGAACGAGTACCTGTTATCCAGGAAACCCAATCGCAAAACGAACACCAGCTTCATGCTTCAGCTGAGCAGTGCCCTGGCTTTCTTGCATAAAAACCAGATCATCCACCGAGATCTTAAACCTGATAACATCTTGATTTCACAAAGCAGGTTGGATACCAATGACTTGGAACCCACACTGAAAGTGGCTGATTTTGGCCTAAGTAAAGTATGTTCAGCCTCTGGACAGAACCCAGAAGAACCTGTCAGTGTAAACAAGTGTTTCCTTTCCACAGCTTGTGGAACAGATTTCTACATGGCTCCTGAAGTGTGGGAGGGACATTACACAGCAAAAGCTGACATCTTTGCTCTGGGGATTATCATCTGGGCAATGCTGGAAAGGATCACATTTATAGACACAGAGACAAAGAAGGAACTCTTGGGGAGTTACGTGAAACAAGGAACTGAGATTGTGCCTGTTGGGGAGGCACTTCTGGAAAATCCCAAAATGGAACTTCTCATTCCTGTGAAGAAAAAGTCTATGAATGGGAGAATGAAACAACTGATTAAGGAAATGCTGGCTGCAAATCCTCAGGATCGTCCAGACGCTTTTGAACTAGAACTCAGATTAGTACAAATTGCATTTAAAGATAGCAGCTGGGAAACGTGACACATATATTATTTGCAAATATATTGGATGATATGCTGCTTCTGTTTTTTAACAGTGATGCAACATAATGTGGCTGAAAAAGGATATAAAAAGATGAACTCCACCTTCTATGGGGTTAGATTTTATTGTGGGGTGTTTTTTTCCTCATTTTTCTTGAGTCCAAGATGGCCATTTTGTTAGTATGTTTTAAATGTATTACCAATGTGGGTGTAAATTTTTTTTAGTGATCATTGGTAGAAGTTTGACAGGAAAATTCTCTAAGAGCCAAGAAGAAAAGAGAGTCCAGTTTTCTGGAAATATGTCTCTAAGTATTTTAGACATTCCTTGTCAGTATTAGGAATTTCCACGGAAGAAGAGGTTTGCATGCTGGTAATGCAACCTTTGAAGCTTTGTAAAGGAAACATATATGTATATATTTATGTATATGTAAGTATGTGAATGTGTGCATTTTGCATTCCATATGAAGAAAATGCCACTTCTGTTTAAATTATTTGATGTAGGTTTGGGTTTTTTGAGATTTGCTGGTGAAATCAGTGATGAGAAATAAAAGAACCTTCCTTCATCATCCTACCCTGTCCCTCCCTCTAATGAAATCATACTAAGTTTTTTATTTTTGTAATATACAATTTTTTAAGGGATCATTTTGGAGGGCCTAAAATAATCTAATTAAACCTAAATGAAATTAAGTGATCCAAAGCTGCTGAAGTATGTTTGAACTCTCCAGTGCCCTATAGCTGCAGGAATAGAATTAGCCACACAGTCACGTGGTAGCAGGTTGGCAAGGATATTTATGATTCAGTCGTACCTTCTGTAGGTAGCCAAGCATTCGATTAACCAATTAAACCACTGCACTGGGACATGTCTGCACTTGAGCATCTGCAATCCGAATACAGGATTTTTCTGTTTCTGAAGACATTGCTATATATATGTACTACAGTACTTGATATATTAACTTTTTATTTTAAGACTTTTTGTCTGAGCCTCAGCATAAAATTGAAGAAACCAAATGAGCTCTATCCTCACATTACCTGCCCTAATAGGGTCTCTTGTTTCATCACTGGAATTCCTTTCATTTTGGCACTAATGCTGTCTTGTCTAATTTGACACAGTAATGGTAGTGATGTAGTAGTATTAAATGTTGATCACCTTTTGTTAATGTGGGAGATGATACCTTTATAGTTTGGCAAATGGATAATATATTGTGGCATCAACTATATCTTTCAAGTAGAAAAGTTAGAGACTTTATACAATCACTTGGTATGGTCTATGTCGAAACCAATAGACCATTATTCTTCTGGAAGTCAGTTTGACTTTTGCCTTCCACGGTTGTCTCCAGTTTGTTTTTCTGTAAATGCAGGTAGTTAATATTTAAGGAAAGAAGTTTTTCCTAAAACAGAACATTAGCCTTTAAGGTTAGAGAGAACTTAAAATCATGTATCTAGGTTAACCTTTATTAAAGCACTAGAATCTTTGGTCAAAAGTATTTTAAAAGATTAGAATATTGAAATCATTGATAGTTTGCATAGTCTCTTCAGATGTTCTTTTTGAATTCCACAACTTTTGGAATATTGCTATCATAAATTTTTCCTTATTTAAAATTTGTTCAGGGGACTATAGGAGGTGAAAAAGCACAAAGAAATTAGAGTACATAAAATTTCTGAACTATGTGTTACTTGATCCAGATGTTCAAAACTTGGGCTAAAAGGTTTTATTGAAATAAAGCCTTTTAAAATAAAAACAAAAATCATTTTTTTCAAGATAACAAGATAACAAGAGGTGGAAAACTGACACCTCATGATAACTGACCCTCTGGGTCACCAAGTTAGTATAACAGATCTGGCCAAGGGGATCAAGTTATTGGCAATAAAAAGCATCGTTACAGTGTCTGTCAATAACATGGCAGAGGTTCACGATTCAGGTGATAGCATTCCAGCACTTCATTTGCTCTTCGAATATCTATGTGCTTGGAGCCATGGTTTCCTAAGTACATAGTTTTTGGTCCTGCTTTATTTAAAAGTTAATGATTATAATTTATTTTGAAAGATTTTACCTGTGAAGCGGAATTCTTCCATTGGTGGTGAGGGTGTGAGGTGATCAGGTAGTTTCTTCTGGAATTTTTTTAAGTCCTCGTATTCTAAAAGACTATGACACCAAGCAAAATGATAGTAAATTCTTTGTCTTTATTCTTTCAGTCAGGAGGTATCTATTAAGTACCTACTGTGTGCTCAGCACTAAAGGTCAGTTGATAAAATGACAATTTAGCAACAGTTTATAGCCACAGGTCTTTTCCAACCAGGAGTAAAAAATACAAGATGATTAGTGGTACTTAAAAATTCCTGAATATTTGCTAGAGGAAAAATGAAAGCAAGAATTTGTATAGTGCCTTGCCCATAATAGGTACTCAGTAAACAATTATTCTTCATAGAGTCTCTTGCCATGGTTTATAGTGTTTTATGAAATTTGTCTTAATTGAAAAAAGACCAAATATTTCAAATAAGCTTATAGGCAGCTGTGGCCAGTTAAAATATGGGGTTGTACAGTTAGTTCCTAGAATGTTATTTTGCACTAGTTGTCACTTAGAACGATGGGGTTCCTGTAGATTTTTTGGTGCTAAGGGATACTTTGTCATTATGATAAAGTAAGTGTTAAGTGTCAGATAAATAGCACACTGAATTGTTTTTTCTGCTGGTCTGTTTTTTCCTCTTTGTTGGTGTTTTTAATTGTAAAATGTTTATCAAACTATTGTAGCAGCTACAAAATAATTCACCAGCATGACAAAATGGTCAAAAAATAAGTCATCAGCACTTCAAAAATGAAAGCAACTTTTGAAATTTTCTTTTAAAATTGTCGAATATATTTTATGAAGAATTTATAAAAGGGGGGAAATGATTGTAATTTATTGTTCATGACTTTTTTTTTAAATAAAGTGAGTTTCAACAAAAAAACCCCACTGAGAATTCTACATTACTGCTTTGGTGGCTCTCTGAATAGCCCTGTAGTACTTCATGAATGTAATAGAGGATATAAAATTTGAAACAGTGTCATTTTCAGCTTTATCTATTAAATTAAACTTTCTGTAATAGAAGCTATTACTAAGGAAAATATGATTGAATTATAGGAGTTCCTTTCAGCATTTTAAGTTGTCTAAAATTTCAGTGCTTACTATCTTTCAGTATTTGTCAGAAGAACTTGTACTGCCTGATTTTTTTTTTAATCTTTCTATCTCATTAAGCTAGGGATACATTCCAGACCCAGAATGAAGAAGATGCAGCTTTTCAATCTGTAACTTGAGACTATGATTTCTTTTCCACAGAATCATCTGGCCCACTTTTTTCTTTGCTCTGTAGGTTCTGTTATGTATGCCTTCTCCAGAATAAACAAAGTACTGAGGATACAGTGCATTGATGGTCCAATGGAACAGCACAGGGAAAATGGGAGCCAGAAAACCTTTGCCAGAGGTAGTGATGAGCAGAAAAGGAGGCATCAGTAACTATGGCTGCTTCTGACTCTGCCATCCTTTCCTGGGATAGCCTTTGTAGACAGGCAAATTTTGCTTTGTATTTAAAGATTATTTTTTTTAAATTATATCTTAAGCTATAAATATTTGTATTTACTAGCCTTTTGGTAACCCTTTGTAGTTTACAAAGTGCCTTCACATGCTTTTGCATATCTTTTCAATAGGTTTCACTTAAAATATGAGACGATTTCTTGATGAGGAATTTTTAGTAATAACACCAGTTAGTGAGGTAATGGTTTTACCTTATCACAGGGTTTTGGTGCCTAAATCTCTGTCCCCAGTTTTCTCTAACAACAAAGCTCTATCTTTTTCACTGAAGTAATGGCCCTTCCTTATTTTGGTCCTTTCTTTAAATTCAAATATTGCTCCCTGTCGCCCAATCACAGATGTCTGCTGAAGTGCAGGGTAATGACAGACGGTTGGTTTGTGGTTAGATAATAACTCCTGCTTGACAAGCCTACCGACCACACCTCTCGAGGGCAAAGTGCGTCTTTTAAAGGCAGTACTTTCCCTTTTACAATGATTTTTCATTGGTTAGAGGTTGTTGTTGTTTTTTTTTAAGAGATGCCCGGGCTTTTGTTTGACTTCACACTTTCATTTCCTGTTCAGCCCCAATATTTCAGGCTTAGCTTTTCCTCAACAGAAGTTAGGCAATTTGCTATTGCCAAAGGCATCGTGGCTTTGTAGCAGAAGTACATGCTTTGGTGTAGCAGATCTCCTGTTGAATACTAGCTTTGCAAACGCCTACATAATTAATGTGCGGCATTGGGCAAGTCACTTCATTCTGAGCCTTAGTTCCTCTATCTGTAAAGTGGAGATATTTACATTTCAGAGGTTTTGTAAGGGTCAAAGATAATACACATATCAACATGAGAAATGTCCAAGCCTGTAAAGATTTTTTTTTTTTTAAGAGAGAGAATGAAAGCAACATCAATTTGCTGTTCCACTTACTCATGCATTCATTGGTTGATTCTTGCATGTGTCCTGACTAGGGAATTCAAACCCACATCCTTGGTGTATCAGAGCAGTGTTCCAACCGACTGAGCTACCAGGTATCTCACTCTAGGGCAGGGCTTCTTCAGCCAGAATTCAACAAAGGAATCCAGGATTATCAGTGAACCCACGAGAATTATAAGCACAATCTTATGTGTATATGCATTTTTCCATGGAGAGAGTTCCTAACTTTTCACAGATTCTTGAAAAGGTCCAAAAGATCTTTGAACTACTATTGCCACTATTATAAGAACCACTATTCTAGTCACAAAGAACTGAGGCAGGAGGTAGTCAGGAAGGAAGCTCCAGAGGCCCCGCAGGGCTGAGGTAGAAAACACCTATACATGACAAAGACCCCCTAAGACGGGTTGTTCCTGTTTTCTGGGATAACTCTGAATCATAGAATGCGCCTGCGCACTACCCCCTGATTCATTATAATATCATTATAATGAAATAACATTGTGGGACTCCCTTCTCCAGTAGCCAATCAAGAAAGTCATGGGAAACCACGCATGCGCAGTAGCTTTGAAATCGAACTCCTTGTACCTGCGCAGGAAAAGCCCGCCAAAGACTAGCAGGGGGGCTTCTGCCCCTATAAGAATAGAATCCCCCCAGCCCACGTGCCCTTTTTTTTTCCTCTGCTCAGAGCTGGCTCACTCCCGTGTCCTGTGGTGTGTACTATCACTTAATAAACCTCCCTCTTTCTTTATGCTATAAACTTTGTGTGTTCGGTTCAATTCTTTGTCCTCGATCACTAAGAACCTGGTTACCTGTGCACACCTGTGCACACCTGTGACAGAACCACTGCATGAAAACTCTGGATATAGGGTAAGTCGGGTGGATGTTGAAAAGAATGAACACCAAAATGACTGGAAAGCTAAGTCACAGACTAGCCAAAGAAAGGCTGGAGTTGACTGGTTGTCAACTGGGTGGTACCCGTTCTTATCTAGGTTTACATGTCAAAACACAACTATCTGTGTCTGCAGGAGCTCTGGTCCTTCTGCAGCTGACTCGCAAACTAACCAGTCTGCTCCAGAGATTTCACTTGGCCCTGGGTCTTCCAGTTTAACAGGATTTCCTGAAGCTAGTGAGAGATCTGGTGGGCCCTCAACCCCTCTGATCATATCAGTACCGGCAGATGGAAGAAGACACTTGGTTCTTACAGTCTTCTCCAAAGGAATATCAGTACATGTGGGCTACAATGAGCTGTGGAGAACAAACAAATTCTTTGGGGTTAAATTACATGTTTACCTTTGGCCCAGTCCTTAGAAGAGAAATTTCTTTTCATCTGCAGTTGGCCTGGTGGGGCTGGGGTCACAACCTGATCAAATAAGATCAATGTGTAGGTGGGAGGATAACCACAGGGGGTACACACTTGTCTTGCACACCCCCCGCATGATCACCCCTCTTGTGTCCACTCACACACTTGGCTCAAATGCACCATCCACGCGACACCCTGTCACAGTACACAACCATCCTGCCCCAGGCCACCCTCCCTCTGGGGAGAGGAGAAATTTCTGACCAGCATTTCTTTCAAGGACATAGTACTTAAATAGGGTGATACCTTTGGTCTTCACATAATTAATCTAGGTACAATTTCCAAGAGTCCTTCCAGCTCTAAAATTTAGTTATTCTACCCATCATGGAAAATTACTAATGAAAGAACTGCAAGAGTCACAAAGGAGTATCACACAGCCCCTGCACTTGGTTGAGAAAACAAAGTACATAATGTATCATTAAAAATTTGTTCTAGACTTTCGGTCAAGACGGAGGCATAGGTAGACATTTTTGACCTCCTTGTGCAACCACAGAGAGAATTACAACTAATTCTCAAAACAAATAACAACCAGAACCATCAGAAAATCAAGTTGTATGGAAGTCTGACAACCAAGGATTTAAAGAAGCCACATTCATCCAGATGGATTCCTTTTATAGAGAGTCAAAGGAGTTCTACCTAATTCACAGAAACAAACAGAGGGAGGCTGACAAATTGAGGAGACAAAGAAATATGGCCAAAATGAAAGAACAGTACATATCCAGGAGACAGAACTAAACGAAATGGAGATAACCAGCCTATCAGACGCAGAGTTCAAAACACTGGTGATGAGGAGGCTCAAAGAACTCACTGAGTATGGTAAAAACATAAAGGAAGAAATGAAGGTTACACTAAGTGAAATAAAGAAAAATCTACATGGAACCAACAGTGGAGAGGATGAAGCCAAGAATCAAATCAACAATTTGGAACACAAGGCAGGAAAAAGCATTCAATCAGAACAGCAGGAAGAAAAAAAGAATTTTAAAAAATGAGGATAAGCTTAGGAACCTCTAAGACAATTTTAAACATACAAACATCTGAATCATAGGAGTGCCAGAAGGAGAAGAAAAAGAGAAAGAAATCGAAAACTTATCTGAAAAAATGATAAATGAAAACTATCCTAATTTGGTGAAGGAAATAGACATTCAAGTCCAGGAAGCACAGAGAGTTTCAAACAAGTTGGACCCAAAGAGAACCATACCAAGACACATCATAATTAAAATGCCAAAGGTTAAAGACAGAGAATCTTAAAAGCAGCAAGAGGAAAGCAGACACTGTGCCTCCTCATGCAACCAAAAAAAAGGACAACAACAGATATAAAAACAAAAAACAACCAGAACTGATCAAATAATAAACTGTATGGAAGTCCAACAATCAATGAGTTAAAGAAGAAACATTCATCCAGACCGGTAGGAGGGGTGGAGACCAGCAGCCAGGTGGAGGGAACTCACAGCAAGGCGGCAGCTAGAGGACCAGGATGGGTGAGGCAGTGGCTGGTGGAGTGGGCGGTCCCATATTTGTGTGTGGATAAACTGGGAGGAACAACTGGGGAGTGAGTCAGACCATGCAACCCAGGTTTCCAGTGCAAGGAAATAAAGCCTCAAAGCCTCTGACTGAAAACACCTGTGCGGGTTGAGGCAGCGGGAAGAACTCCCAGTCTCACAGGAGAATCCATTGGAGAGACCCACAGGGTTCTAGAATGTACACAAGCCCACCCATCTAGGAGTCAGCACAAGAAGGGCCCAGTTTGCTTGTGGGTAGCGGGGAAAGTGACTAAAATCCGGCAGAGAGCAGAGCAAGTGCCATTGTTCCCTCTCGGACACCTCCCTCACATACAGGCCACAACACAGCAACGTGGGTTGCCCTGCCCTGGTGAACACCTAAGGCTCCGCCCCTCACTGCATAACAGGTGCACTGAGACCCCCCCTCCAAAAATGGCCCAAATGAAAGAACAAATTAAAGCTCCAGAAAAAATACAACTAAATGACAAAGAGATAGCCAACCTATCAGATTACACAGTTGAAAACACTGGTAATCAGGTTGCTCACAGAATTGGTTGAATGTGGTTATAAATTAGAGGGAAAAATGAGGGCTATGCTAAGGAAAG